TAAATCAAATTTTAAAAAGGGGGGGGGACCTTGGAGGTCTTCTAGTCCAATCCCTTGCTTAGGCAGGAAACTCTAAACCATTTCAGACAAATGGTTGTCCAATCTCTTCTTAAAAACTTCCAGTGTTGGAGAATTCACAACTTCTGGAGGCAGGTTGTTCCACTGGTTAATTGTTCTAATTGTCAGGAAATTTCTTGAGTAAACACAGAGACACCATCCTTAAATACTGTATGTCAGTTAAAGCCAAGCAGCTTGACCCAAATATACAATTCTAGATAACTAGGTTAATTCTACAAAGCACAGGTAAGTCACTTACAGTTAGCATGTCAAGAAAACAGAGTACAGTATATATTTCTACTTTTCCTGGGAATTCAGTTATTTCATGAAAGCAGGATTTATTTAATTGTGCATGAATCTAGAGAGTCAAAACCAAATAAAGGATAAAATCCAAGTTCTAAATTATTCAGAAATTACTCCTCCAAAATGCTGACATAAAAGTAAATAATCTACAATCCACTACCAATAATTTGATTCCGTACCAATTTAATCACAGCTTAGTTTACTGAATGCATTGCTTTTTGGATTCAAATGTTTTATTAGTTTATCAAAATATAAAATATAGAAGTACAAAGAAAAATGAAAATGAGGGGGAAATAAAAAGGGAAGAGAAAAAAAAAGTGTAAGGTAAAGGGGGAAAGACAAAGAAGAGCATTGACTTCCAGCTCCTTTTAAGGCAGCAGAATAAGGTAAAACTTCAACTTTATACTTTTATATAATATATACTAGCCATTTCTACAACAAACCTATGTAATCAGCAAAACCCAACTGAATGCATTGCTGGTAGTTGAAGCAAAGCAATTGACTTCTAAGATTTCCCTCTGCTGTCAACCAGAAAGATATTTATTAAATGTTTGCCTCCCACCTCACCACAGGACAAGCCTTAATGTTAAGTATATCCATATTTCTTTTCAGTGAAGTTTCAATGTAAAAGTGATCCACTGATTTTGTCCCTGAAAATTATCAGTTTATAAGTTTGGACAGCTGATGATCAATACTGAAATTTTCCCTAGCAACCCAGATCACCAGAAATAATCGAGATAGATAGATAGATAGATAGATAGATAGATAGATAGATAGATAGATAGATAGATAATTTATGTAATTTATATGCTGCCCTTCTCCCAAAGGACTCAGGGTGGCTTACAAAGAAAACATTCAACAAATTTGAAAATTACTTAAAAATTCAAATCCAATTAAAATTAATTAAAATTGTCCTAATTTTCTCCCCTTTCTTTTAAATTTTTAAACTGAAATTTTAATTTGTTTTAAATTATTGGGATTTTTAATTGTCTTGGGCTAAATTATTTAATTTGGTTTTAAATTGTTTCTAATTTTTGTATTTCTGTATTTTATTCTGTGCCTGTTCACCGCCCTGAGTCCTTCGGGAGTAGGGCGGTATACAAATTTAATAAAACATAAAACAAACAAACAAAATTATTTCAACGTAAAAATCCCCCAATGGGTCAGCCCATTTGATGAAAGAGCGGCGGAAGGAGAGGATAATCTGGAAAGCAACATGCCCAAGTGCAAATTGAAGGCATTCCAAAATTTAAAAAGTCTGACTTTAGTAGCATCTTTTAAGATTAACACACATTAATATAAGGCACAAACTTTTCTAAGCTGCCACTCACTGCATCAGACACGTGGAAGGGGTCTTAATTGATTTAGGATTTAAATACGTCAGGATGAGGCAAGGAAAAAAAAAATGCAGGCAAAGGTTCCCTGGAGAAAAGTAATTATAAGCAGCAGTTTACAATTTTATATCAATGCACTCAAAAGCACCAATTCTAATGGGACTTCGTTGCAAACACGACTGAACTGTAATTATTTTTTGGCGCGGTTCAGAAGTGAAGGTCTATTCACTGGGTAAGTGTATACAAGATTGCAGCTTAAAGTTAAAACCTGGCAAGCCAAAATATTGTACTGCTTCATGTCAGCAAATACTGGTCTGTACTCAGGGAGTGCAGTATTGCTAGCCGTTGCATCATCAAGGAGAGGAAGGGGAGGTCCCAGCAGCCAGGTCTAGGATGAAGAGAGGCTTCAAGGGAGGATCCAGAATCAGGGGGTTTCCATCTTGGACTTTCCATAATCCCAGGTAGCAAATCTGCTGTATTTGTATTGTTTGCCAATTTACAATGTGAGAGTCATTCACAGGGTCTCTAAGTTAGCCCAGCACCTCAATGCTTAGCGCATTGTAAGCCACCCTGAGTCTCCGGAGAAGGGCAGCATATAAATCAAATTAAAAAAAAAAAATCAGTTCACAGGGGGGAGGGGGTCTCTCTCCAATCAGAAGCGGCAGGGGAGCCAATTTTATTCTGGATTTGGGTGTCCAGAAAAGGAACAAAACAACACAAACCGTCTCTCCTTTCACTTGGTGGATGTTTGCAAACAATGAAAGTGCCAGCCAGGGATTTTTTTTAACGCAGGGTCGAATTGCACTCTTGAGGCCAGTTTGAGTTAATCTTAAAACAACTGTTAACACTATCACCAACTCCTGAGAGCCCCTCCTAGCGCCTTGATAGATCCCCCCCCTTTTCCTCCACCTCTTCAAGCACCCTCGATTAGGCCTCGGTTGGCCGGATCTTATCAACCCACACACAGCGACTTCTTTTCACCCAAAACATCCAAAGAGTAGATTTATGGAGATCCTCAATCATCCATAGCTCAGGGTTTATTTTATCAACGGTTAGACAAAAAGATATGGAAATGAAGTTTGGTAGAGATCTTTCTAACACAAGAACTGTAGAATTATATAAAATATAATATAAAGATGTATTATTTATTGGATTGATTTAGGGCGAGGAAATGAATGGCATAGCACAAATTTAACTCAAATCTTGGAATATTTTGTATGAAAGGAGGGAAGCAATAGCCGTAGTCAAATAAAATGATTAATGAGGATAACAATACATAGATATGTATGAGATTGATAATATGAGAAATTAGGTAAACCGTAAGCTATGAATAGGGTGAAGATGCGCAAAAGACTTGTAACCAACTGTTTGTATTTGTATTTTTTTTTTAACTTTTCACTTCTGGTCCAAGAAGCTTCTTCAGATCTGAGTGTCTTTTCAAATAATAATAATAATATTTAAAAAAAAACAAAAAGCCTAAGTCCAGTTGCCTTTTTAGAAAAGCCCCTTTGGGACATCCCCAGGAGTATGAAAAGCTCAGGAATGTCGCTCCTGCCTTTATATTATTAAATCACTTGAGAATACCGTTCACTAAGGGCAGGTTGGGGGGGAAAATGCGGCCACGATCCGTTTCTTTTGCTTTTATAAGTCCAGTCGAGGTTTTTTTAACCCGGCCTTGGACGATTTCAAAGCACTTTGCTTCCCAAGCCTCACGCCAAAACTTTCCCATCTTGCGGGTCAGACGCCCGTAACTGACACCATCCCGAAAACCACGCGCGTTACTGTACAATACACTTACACGGAAACTTCCAATCGCGCCTCGGTTCCAACTCCAAACGCTGCGCTTTAGCGAAGCCGCCGAGTTTATGGAAGGAGATACTTGCCCGGACTTGTTCGGAGGCGAAGCCGAGGGTCTTTTTCCCTTGCAGGGCGATCGACCCCACCACCATCTCTCCCTTCACACCCTCTCTCTCTCTCTCTCTTGCTTTCTCCATCCATCCATCCATTCCTCCCTCCCTCTCTCTCTCTCCATCCATCCATCCATTCTCCCTCCCTCTCCCTCTCTCTCCATCCATCCATTCCTCCCTCCCTCTCTCTTTCTCCATCCATCCATTCCTCCCTCTCTTCTTTCTCCATCCATCCATTCCTCCCACCCCTCTCTCTCTTTCTCCATCCATTCCTCTCTCTCTCTCTCTCTCCATCCATCCATTCCTCCCTTCCCCCTTTCTCTCCATCCATCCCTCCCCCTCTCTCTTTCTCCATCCATCCATTCCTCCCTTCCCCCCCCTCTCTCTCCATCCATCCCTCCCACTTTCTCTCTTTCTCCATCCATCCATTCCTCCCTTCCCCCTCTCTCTCCATCCATCCCTCCCACTCTCTCTCTTTCTCCATCCATCCATTCCTCCCTCTCTCTCTCCATCCATCCCTCCCTTCCCCCTCTCTCTCCATCCCTCCCTCCCCCTCTCTCTCTTTCTCCATCCATCCATTCCTCCCTTCCCCCTCTCTCTCCATCCATCCCTCCCACTCTCTCTCTTTCTCCATCCATCCATTCCTTCCTCTCTCTCTCTCTCTCTCTCCATCGATCCATTCCTCCCTTCCCCCTCTCTCTCCATCCCTCCCCCCCCCTCTCTCTCTGACACACACACCCATCAAGGCCGGAGACATCCCCGTGTAAGTTTTAGGAGCGCCCCTCCCCCAACCGCCCAACCCCCTAGCCCGGCCAGGGCTGTCTTAACGCATGGATGGGCCCGATGGGCACTTGCCCGTGGGTCCCCACGAGCAGAGTGGGGCCCCATACTAACCTGCACCTTGCATCATATCAATACAGCGACCTATTTCCTACCTTTTCCTGCCTTTTTAAATGAAGACTAACATGCCTTGAATAGAAATTAACCCTGACAACCCTAATAAATATATGTTTAAGTTTAATCGACCATTTACCTTTTTTTACCCCTGCGCGAATAGTTGTCGGAAGGACACCCCCCCCAGTACCCTGCTTGGCTCGGGACCCCCAGAATGCTGTTAAGACGGCCCTTTCTCCCACCCCTCGTCCTAACAGCGAGCGGCCACCGCGTCGCCTCCTTTCTTTCTCTCTCCCGGCATCGCCAAAGTTCGCTTTGCGCGGGACCAAGGGACGCGGGAGTGGGGGGAAAAGCAAGGGACGCGCGTGGATCTGGAGATGCGCGGAGCCCAAGAAAAAGTCACGCGACTTTTTCACGAGTGGGTGGGAGGGTAGGTGGGGAAAATAGCCCCCCCCCACACACACACACACGCCCGAAACGCCCGGAGAAAAGTTGCCAAACTCACCCGCAGGTAAAGAACGATGCCAAGCGTCAGAAGGAATTGGGCTCGCATGGCGATGCGGAGAAGGGGACCCCCCCGGTCCGCAGAAACAGTAGCCGGGGCGGAGGTTGGTTTGAGCTGTTGCTCCCGGGTGGAAACCAAAAAAAAAATAAAAATAAAAATAATAATAATAAAGTAACGCGTGTCTCGGAAAGGGCGAAAGCGGAGAAACGGCAGCCGAGCAACTCCAAAAGTTGAAGCGGTCCGGAGTTCCGCGCGCAACGCAGTTTTGGAAGCGAGAGCGGAGAAAGTTGCGAGACGGCTGACAACTCGCGCAGCTGCCGGGAAGGAGCGAAGATTAAGCTCAGGCGCCGCGTTTTAAACGGAGGCGGAGGCGAGGAGGAGTTTACGCAGGGACCACCTCCCGGGGGGGGGAGGGGGGCTCTTTCACCGGGTTGGCTCGGATCACACGCTCCAATTTTGAAAAAAACTTCTCTTTTGTCATCTTCGGGAGGATTTCTTTCTTTCTTTCTTTCTTTCTTTCTTTCTTTTTCTTTTCTTTCTTTTTCTTTTTTTTATTTATTAAACTTTATTAAGGTTTTAAAAAAAAAAACAAAAACAAAAGAGAAATAAGAAGAAAAAACAAACAAACATTCAAACAATAACATAGAGCACCATAAACATAATATAGATTTTCAATTTGTATCGGATGTGCAGTGTTTTAACTATTTACATAGATAATACTTGGTGACATTTTAGCTCACTTTTAACCATTATTTAACACACCAGAAAGATCTAAAGGTGTGTAAAGGTGTGTCTTTCTTTCTTTTTAATTCCCTCCCATCCTCCATCTGGGACTTTCCTGCTAGCTGAAGTCACACGCCGACTTGACTTGCCTATTTATAATGCGCGTTTGCGGGAGGCGGTGGCTTCTTGAACCTGCGACAAACCAGGTTAATGCGCGGCTTGTTTTGGTTTGGGCGGCTCTCCGTATGCCTGTTGGGTCGGGTAGAGGCGGTGGGGAAATCCGATTTTTTTTTTTACTGCCGGTTCTTGTAGGCGTGGCAGGGGAAGGATGCTGCAAAATCCCCATTCCCTTCCCACTCCTGCAGGAAGGATATTGCAAAATCTCCATTCCCACCCCACTACAGGGGAAGAATACTGCAAAATCCCCATTCCCTTCCCATTCCTGGGGGAAGGATATTGCAAAATCTCCATTCCCAGCCCACTCCAGGGAAGGATACTGCAAAATCTACATTCCTGCCCCACTCCAGGGGAAGGATACTGCAAAATCCCCATTCCCTTCCCATTCCTGGGGGAAGGATATTGCAAAATCTCCATTCCCACCCCACTCCAGGGAAGGATACTGCAAAATCTCCATTCCTGCCCCACTCCAGGGGAAGCATACTGCAAAATCTCCATTCCCTCCCCACTCCAAGGGAAGGATACTGCAAAATCCCCATTCCCTCCCCACTCCAGGGAAGGATACTGCAAAATCTCCATTCCTGCCCCACTCCAGGGGAAGCATACTGCAAAATCGCCATTCCCTCCCCACTCCAGGGGAAGCATACTGCAAAATCTCCATTCCCACCCCACTCCAGGGGAAACATACTGCAAAATCTCCATTCCCACCCCACTCCAGGGGAAGCATACTGCAAAATCTCCACTCCCACCCCACTCCAGAGGAAGCATACTGCAAAATCGCCATTCCCACCCCACTCCAGAGGAAGCATACTGCAAAATCGCCATTCCCACCTCACTCCAGGGGAAACATACTGCAAAATCTCCACTCCCACCCCACTCCAGGGGAAGGATATTGCAAAATCTCCATTCCCACCCCACTCTGGGGCCAGCCAGAGTTGGTATTTGCCGGTTCTCTGAACTATTCAAAATTTCCACTACCAGTTCGCCAGAACCTGTCAGAATCTGCTGGATTCCACCCCTGGGAATCTCTGTCTACCCGGCCCCGGCCGCCTCGCCACAAGCTATCCTTTGAATGTCTATATGGCAGGGGTGGGCAAATGTGGCCCTTTTACAACCCCTGGAGTTCAACTCCCAGAATTCTGGGAGTTGAAGTCCATGGGTTGTAAAAGGGCCACATTTGCCCACCCCTGCTATATGGAGATTCTCACTCATCCAGGAAGTCATGGTTGTCCCAAAAATGCTTTTTTCAAGAGGCAACTGGACTTGTCTTTCTGGGGGTTTTCTTTTGAAGACGTTTCACTTCTCATCCAGTCAAGAGCCGAAGAAGCTTCTTGCATGAGAAGAGAAATGCATTCAAAAAGATACCAGAAAGATACCAGTTTGCCTATTCAGCTGCCAGCAATTACTGCAGGTTCGAATCTCGCCAGGCTCAAGGTTGACTCAGCCTTCCATCCTTTCTAAGGTAGGTTAAATGAGGACCCAGTTTTGGGGGCAATAAGCTGACTTTGTATAAATATACAAAAGTATGAAGGCTATTGCTTAACGCATTGTAAGCCGCCCTGAGTCTCCGGAGAAGGGCGGCATATAAATCAAATTAAAAAAAAAAAAAAGAATCTTTGGGAAGCTATCCTTTGATTAGGCTGAGTTGTTGTTTATTCAGATAAACCCTTTTAATAAAATATTGAGTCCTAGACGTTAAGGCAGTGGTGGGATTCAAGTAATTTAACAACCGGTTCTCTGCCCTAATGATTTCTTCCAACAACCAGTTTGCCAAACTGCTCAGAAAGTTAACAACCGGTTCTCCCGAAGTGGTGCGAACCGGCTGAATCCCACCACTGCATTAAGGGTGGTGAGCGAGCCAAGTTTTCTAATCTTTTTTTCTAATGGACATTTGGTCAATCCAGTTGGGAAGGAAGAGAGAAACGTTCTGGGTAAGGATAAGAAAAACTCTTGGTTTCACTGTAAAGGAGGGAATTTAGAGCCTATTAAGGGCCCTACATCTCCATATAGTGGGATGCGGTGGCTCAGTGGGTAAGACGCTGAGCTTGTCGATCGAAAGGTCGGCAGTTCAGCAATTCGAATCCCTAGCGCCGCATAACGGAGTGAGCTCCCGTGACTTGTCCCAGCTTCTGCCAACCTAGCAGTTCGAAAGCACGTAAAAAATGCAAGTAGAAAAATAGGGACCACCTTTGGTGGGAAGGGAACAGCGTTCTGTGCGCCTTTGGCGTTAAGTCATGCCGGTCACATGACCACGGAGACGTCTTCGGACAGCGCTGGCTCTTCGGCTTTGAAACGGAGATGAGCACCGCCCCCTAGAGTCGGGAACGACTAGCACATATGTGCAAGGGGAACCTTTACCTTTACCTTTATCTCCATATAATCAAAGTCATCCCAGTAAACACCAGTCAATATGCTCTAATAAAGAATATTTGTAGCTCGGGGTTGATATGAGTGGCCCTTGGTGCTCTCTGAGCTTGCTTGTTTTCTTGCAGACGCAAACTAGGTAATGCCGTCAGTGCTAATAAGGAATGGGATTTGCTGTAGCGCTGATAATGTTACCTAGTTTGGGTCATGAAAAGTCTGCTAGAAAACAAGCAAGCTTAGAGAACACTAAGAGCCTTGGTGGCGCAGCGGACTAAAGTGCTGTTAAGTAGCACCAGCTGCCTGCAATTACTGCAGGTTCGAATCTCGCCAGGCTCAAGGTTGACTCAGCCTTCCATCCTTCCGAGGTAGGTAAAATGAGGACCCGGATTGTGGGGGCAATAAGCTGACTTTGTATAAAAAAGAACACCGCTTAGGAGGGGGGGGGCAAAAGCCCTACTAAGCAGGTATATACAAAAGCATGAAGGCTATTGCTTAACGCATTGTAAGCCGCCCTTAGTCTCCAGAGAAGGGCAGCATATAAATCAAATTAATAAATAAATAAAATAAATAAGGATCTCTCATGTCAACCCGGAGCTACAAATAGTCTTTTATTAGAGCATATTGACTGGTATGTACTGGGATGAGTTTGGTTATATGGAGATTTTTCAAGTTCTTCCAAGACTTTCTAGAACAAGAAGAAAAGCTGAATTCATCCCAGCAACCTGAAAATACAAGTGCTAGAAACGGCAATTTGTTACCGTGACATAATCTTTTTTTTTTTTTTTTTGCCTGCCTGGCAATTAAGGTGTGAGATGTATTGAGTATCAATTTCAGTAACTACTGGGTTTTGCATTCATTTTGCAATGATCATAAGTTGTTCCTTTGTTCTACCAAGCCAGGAGTTGTATTTTATCCATTAGAGCTTAATCCAATTAAATCCAGATCTATGGAGGCAAAGTTTGCATCTTCAATGAATCTTCAGTATGAAATGTATCGCCATTTTTTTTTCTTTCTCACTCAGTTTTTAAATGAAATCAATCAAACCTGATCGAGTTCCGTAATATATATTTTTTAAATCACAAATTTGTAACATTTGGGTTACTGTTCATACCACAGTATCTTTTTTTTTTTTTAAAAAAGTTTTATTGGTTTTTTCTCCTCCCAACATTCACCCACATCTTTTTTTGAACAGAGTATTGGCCATATCTCATCTTATACAATTTATCAAATTCAAATACATTTTACTCAGTTACAATTTTTGCCACGATTTTCTTTTTTCCCTTTTTTAAAAAAAATCATATCTCAATATTTCTTTGCTTACTTATATAAACAGCATCTTCATTCGCCCTCAAATTCTAGTTTTCCTGCTTATTCATATTTATTCTCTTTTGTTTTTTAACCATTCATTCTTTATCTTAGTATATTTATATATGTTTGGGGTTGCCTTTCTTCCATTTCATCTTTTTTGTTGTACAGCAATCTTTCTTCTCAATCCTGCCATCTCTCTCTCTTCTTCTTATTTTCTTTTTCCCTCCTCTCCTCCTCTACTTCCCCTTCCTTTCTTCTTCTCCTCCTTTCTTTCTCCCTGTCTGACCATCTCTCCTTCTCTAATTTCCCCCCTCTTTCTTCCTCCCTTCTCTTCCATCCCCCACTCTCTCTTCAAGATACCACAGTATCTTGAATGACACACGTACAAAGGGAAAAAAACGTTTAACGGTTACTGCAATATATCAATCAAGCAACTGATTTTTATTCAGCCGCAGATCATCAAACCAAACAATAATCAGACAAGTGCATAAAAATTCTACAATATTTAAGAAAAGTTGGAGGAGTTATTCTGATGTACTCCACAAGCTATAGAGCAGTGCTTAGCTGCGGTCAACAAAATAAAGTGATTTTATTTTGGTTGATCACAGCCAAGTACTGTGGTTAGATAGTAACAATTTAGGAGAGAAAGAGTCAGAATGGCAAGAATGTTTAGTGAAAAATGAAGATAATTCCTGCTGAGCACCTGCATAGAGGGAACAAAACAATCT